CAAAGTGACATCATTTCATAAAAGAACTAAACAATATAAATTTTCATTAAAGAAAATGACCTTTCGAGAAAGGCATGTGACCAACTTCTGAATTAGTTGTTTCATCAACTAGTCTTTATTAAGACTAAACAACTGATGATTTTACCAACTACTATATCAATGGAGTTCAAAAATTATATAATTTAGACATTACGTCTAACATTGGCTTTTGTCATGCATAAGCTAAAAGCCCCCACATTTTAAATATTTCATCAACATATCATATACAATCAAATAATGACTATATGATTTGAAGTATTCTTAACGTAAACACATTTGTTTACACTCATTAATTTTTGAAACCATTTGACAATATTATTTGGTCAAATCTCGCATGTCATTGTTTACTAAACAATTTATCCAAACATTACGACTTTCCCGGTTTCTCGGCCGGAGGAACAGCAGTGCGGCTTGACGAGGCTATCTCGTTTGCACCAACAGTCGCAGAAGGAATTCCATTCTCATTTGCCATTTCTTACAATGAACAACAGAAGAGATCAATTAATGGCAAAACCAAAACAGTGAATAATACTGTAATTAATAAACAGTACGTAATAAAAACAACTGAAGTTTTAATATACTGTTTTACAGAAAAAACGATGAAGTTTTTATGTTCTTCAAATCGTTTTCTGAATTTCAATACTCTGATGAAGTTTTTATATCTTCAAATCAGAATAATAAAATTCAGACAGAATACAGAATATAATTAATAATTTCCTTAAGATTGTTATTTATCTATATTGCTGTAAATAAATTAAATAATAATCTTTATGAAAAAACCGAAACAGAAAGTTAGTAGAAATTTAATTCCGAAAAACAGTAAATTTCTTCAAAATAAATTCTGTAAAACGTTGTATGAACAAATCGAGCCCACTGAATACACAGTGTATCTTTAAGGAAATTATTCCCCTCAAGTACCCGAGGTTATGGAATATATCCTCCCAGGGTAGAACGATTTAACTCACCAGTGTATCGGTACCTAAAACTCTGGTGATCGGCGAACCACTCGATGGTCGTAAAACACACTGGAATATTTTGTGCAGAAGAAGAAGAAGAAGATTTAGAAAATTTAGTAAGTAAATATTCTGGGATTTGAAGGTCTATTTATAGCCAACTTGGTGATGTTTCTGAAGAGGTTTGCAACCTTTCAGAACAGTCATGGCTGTTGGAACTGGTGTGACCCTCTGAAGAGGTTTGCAACCTTTCAGAATAGTCATGGCTGTTGGAACAGGTGTGACACTGTTTCACAACAGCCATGGCTGTTGGAAATTTTTGCGGAAAATTTAAAACGAATTTAAATTAATCCGGGAAAGAAAAACGGACTAGACCGGACCGGGTCGCGGGTCATCCCTCCATTTCTTTTCCCACCATTTTCCATTCACACCTCTTTTGTTATTATTTATTAAATAATAAACCCAACATATGTGTGTGACAAAATTAGTATATATGTAAAGATACAAAGATTACCTTTGGAAGCACAATAAAGAGAAACAGAAGGTAGTGCCGAAAAGCCAGCAATAGAAGAGAGAAAGATGACATTGCCATTTTCAGATGCTTTGAGCAAAGGATAAGCAAGTTGAGATAAGTGAAAACCAGCGTCAAAATTAGTTCCCATTACAATGTTGTGATCTTCTGCTGTGAAGTCTTTACTTTCCTTATGTATCACAACCCCTGCGTTATTTACCTAACCATGAACAAATTAAATTCAATTAGCGGTTGTAACTTTTTCAAAAGGAACTTTAACTTATATAAATGGATAGTACAAATAATAACTTTTATAAAATTAGATTACTAAATATTCATATATAACGAAAATTTATCTGTACCCGATGTTTACAACAAACCACTAAATAAAATATATCACTTAATCATAGTTAAATGACTTGTAACTACTAAAGTTAAACAATTACATTTGGTATAAATACCCAGTGCGAATAAGTATTTACAGGTGTTATGAAAAGAAAGGCAATTAGAAACTTAATCTAACTATGCTGAGTGGTTAAAAACCCATTTCTTTTTTTGGAACCCCAGGAAAACCCGCAGTCTCTACAGCCTTTGTCCTTCGGGTGAGCACTCTGTGGCGAGCACTCTATGCGCACTGGGTAAACCCCCCACTGTGTAATAACCTGCAAACCACACAGGGGATCTTGAGGGGGGATCGAACCCGCGTCGCCCGTGTGGACAACTCCCTCAAAACTCAACTGGGTCGTCCCTTCGGGACGGTAAAAACCCATTTCAATTAGGAGTACTTTGTTACAAATCACACTTACTATAGACTATTACTTGTAATTAGAGGCAGACCTACTCTTTGGATAGGGGGTCAGTGGCCCTTGATGACTTAAAAAAAAAAAAAAGATGTATATGTAAATATATTTTTAAATAACAAGTATATATTTTGATTGAGAGTCTAAAATTCAAATCTTAGGCAGCTACAGTCATCGATTTAGAGGAGCACAACTTGACTTAAATTAGTGCCACCGACTGTGTTTTATTCTGACTCAAGCATTTACTCATTTTTGTTTGATAGTGGTACTGGTACCCTCCTACTTTCAAATCCTCGGTCCGCGTCTGCATGTAATTTGTCATTAAATAATATGCTAATGAAATTTTTTTTTGTACACTGTCAATACGTAAAAATCAAAATAGGTGGAATTAAAGTCTAACCAAAATATTGAGCTTTCCATTAAAAACATCTCCAACAGCGCGCATAAGATTCTCACGTTCAGTGCGCAACAATAGGTCGCACACATAACCTTCTACTTTAAATCCCTTGTTTCTCCAAATCGCAAGGCATTCCTGCAATTCCTTTTCATTACGTGAACATGTATATACTTTTGCTCCAAGACCTGCCAATTCTTCCACAGTTGCATACCTAAAATGCCAATAATACAAAAGCAGAAGACAGAATAGAGTAAAAATATATACATATAATTAATAAGATCACATTCATTCTGAACTCCCTTATTCTATATTTTGCATTTGCCTCGGTATAGATATATATATAGTTCATAGCTTATAGATTTGTCACATCTTAGCTTGCTGGAGAGGTGAGTTCTGCCTATATATTTCCATGGAAATTATAACGTCTATAATGTTGTATTTAGTACGACGGAAGTCATTTTTCAAGAAGATCTTGATGAGTTAGAGTAGAGTATCACTACACTTACTGATTTATGACAACGAGTGCAAAACTAATAGTACCACTTGTATTTCTTAGAGGATTTCAGCTATAGAGATAAAATTATATATAACGGGAACTAGACCAGGTTTTGCAGGTTCAATTGGCCTCATCGTTTCTTTTGACTCCAACAGTTAATACACAAAAAGAAAATTTTAAAATATATGATTTTAATTAATAACATTATACTCATTCTGATCGATCACATTAATTACTTACTCGGAATTCTACATGTACAAACTTGTCATAGGTATTAGTAAGAGCAGAGTTAGGAAAAGTTACACTGAATATATAAGGTTATAATTATTTTATTTATATATATATATATATATATATATATATATATATATATATATATATATATATATATATATTGATGTTAATAAATTTCTTTGGATTCTTCATGTATTTACTTTATTATGTTTTTGAATTCCCTTATTAAAAATCCTGATTCGGCTGCCACTAACTACCTCTATAATTAAATGGAGGACTCAAGGAGAAAATTTCAAACTCACCCTATGCCTTTAGAGCCACCAGTGACGAGGGCTGTTTTGCCTTTGAGACTCCATCTTCCTTCTTCTTCTCCATTGTTGTCATTCTTGTTAGCATTTGAATCTTCCATTTTTGGTTTCTTAATTGGTTTTTCCTTGAAATGCTCAAAGTGAGAATTTAAGTCTCCAGATTGCTATAAATAATATAGTAGTGGGTGTAGTAGTAATTATAATGTATACAACGCCGGGAAGCCTTTATTACTATACCTATAAGTCCCCAAACCATTATGGAGTCTATATTAGCTTAATGCGATGAAGACACATGAAAGTAAAGGACCATATACTATCAATATAAGAAAATGACTACCATACCTAACTTCTTTGAAAGATATTTGTCCTCATCACCACGTTTTTAATAGTAGTAATTATAATGCTCTAGCTCCTTTTAAAAATGGTTGTCCTCCACATTTTGAGCAGTAGTAATTATAATGTAGTAGCTCCTTTGAAGAATATTTGCCCTCACCACATTTTGAGTAGTAGTAATTACAATGTACTAGCTCCTTTGAAAAATGTTTGTCCTCACCACCACGTTTTGAGTAGTAGCAATTATAATGTGCTAGCTCCTTTAATAAATATTTGTCCTCATCACCACGTTTTTCTCAAGACAGCATTATTTAACATGGGCTCCACTTGTCCAACCACCGTATATATGTCTTCTTTTGTAAATGCTCCGTAACTCCGGATTAGGCGTAGACATGTTAAATAAGTATTAATGTGATATTTTATATATGTGAAGTTCTATCGGGATGAGTATGAGTAAAAATAGTTATTTTAGAATCAAGACGGACATTGAGGTGCATAAGATTCGATAAAATCGACTAAGTTTACGAAAGAATTGTCTTCCAACAGGATTTCATGAATATCTGTAATGATTTTTGTGACGACCCAAAGGGTCATCACCTATTTCCTCATCTATTCCGTGCTTCCGAGGCCTTAAAACCTCATTTTTACTTGTCTCGATTTGCGTGCGCAGTCCGGGCGCGTAGCCGGAAAGCTTTTTTGTTGAAATATGTGAATTCCGTGAAAATTTTGAAGAATTTTGATATTGATATGATTATAGTTGACTTTGGTCAACATTTTTCGTAAACGGACCCGGACCCGAGATTGGACGGTCCCGGAAGGTCCGTAGAAAAATATGGGACTCGGGCATGTGCCCGGAATCGAATTCCGAGGTCTAGAGCCCGAGGAAAGAATTTTTCTGTGAAATTGTTTTTCTGAAATTATTAAGGAAAATAGAAATGAAAATTGATTAAAAGACTATGGTATCGGGCTCGTATTTTGGTTCCGGCGCCCGGTACAAGTCTTAAATATGTGGTAAGCACTTTCTGTGAAGTTTGGTCGAAATCGGACGTCATTTGACGTGTTTCGGACCTAAATATCTAAAGTTTGAAGTTTATGAAGTTATAATGAAAAATCATGTGCTTTGAGGCTTGATTCTATGTAAATGATGTTATTTTGGCGATTTGATCACACGAGCAAGTCCGTAGGATATTTTCGAGGTTGTATACATGTTTGGTTTGGAGCCCCGAGGGCTCGGGTGAGTTTTGGATAGGCATCGGATTGCATTTCCTCATTTTTGAAAAGCTGGTATTCCCCAGTTCTGGTATCGCATTTGCGAAGAAGTACTCGCAAATGCGAAGTCGCAAATGCGGCAACTCGATCGCAAATGCGAAGAAAGGGAAGTCTGGGCCGGATCGCTAATGCGATCATTCCTTCGCAAATGGAAGAGGGGGGAAATGGGCTGGGGTCGCAAATGCGACGCCCATGCTCGCAAATGCGAGAGGGCCCAGATCGCAAAAGCGATCGATACTTTGCAAATGCGAAGTCTGTGCCCAGGCCCAGTGTTCGCAAATGCGAACCAAGGATCGCAAATTCCCAGCCCTGTCTTGTTCGCAAATGCGAACCAAGGCTCGCAATTCCCATATCCGAGGCCCAACAAATTTTATACTTAGTTGAATTTTCACCACTTTTCACCATTCTTTCAAAACCCAAACACCATAGGCGAATTTTCAAGAGCAAACTTCATCCCAAATCACTTGTAAGTTGATTTTTACTCAATTCTTTCAATCTTTAACATCATTAAACATGTTTTCCACTAGAAATCAAAGATTTTCATGGGTGAAATTGGGATTTTTGGGTAGAACCTAGGTTTTCTATAAATTGGGGAGTTGGACCTCGATTTGAGGTCCGATTTCAAAACAAATTATATATTTGAACTCGTGGGGGAATGAGTAACCAGATTTTGGTTCGAACCTCGAGTTTTGACCACGTGGGCCCGGGGGCATTTTTGGAATTTTTGGAAAAAAAACTTGGGAAATTCATTTTTATGCATTCAAATTGATTCATATAGTGTTTATTAAAGTAATTGAGCAAATTCTGATTAGATTCGAGCGAATTGGAGGTGGAACCGCGAGGTAAAGCAATAGTTGAGGATTAAGTGGATTTCAAGGCTTTGAGGTAAGTGTTTGGTTTAACCCTAGCTTGAGGGAATAGGAGTTGAGTCTTGTTGCTAATTGCTATGTGATCGAGTACGATGTATAGGCATGGTGACGAGTATCTATACATTAGTGTCTAGCATGACCGTGAGTCCTTATAATGTGATTATCATGAACTGATTGTGAATTCCATGTTTATTGGAGTATTTCTATATGTTGTGAATAACATGTGAATGGTGATATGATAATTTTATCCCTAGGAGCATTGGCTCGAATTGTGATATGAATATTGAAAGTATATGAAATGACTTGTTTCATTGAGGAGCGTCGGCTCCAGTTGTAGAACGAATTGTGACAGTACGAGTGATAATTGAACCTCTAGAGCATTTACTCGAGTTGTGAAGAGAAGAGATCGTTATGTTGCCCTCTTGACGGGCTATTGTTGGGTTGTGATTCCTCTGCATTGTGTTCTTGACGGATACTAGGGTCGCTTAGGTTAATGTTTCCTTGTGTTGTGGGATGACTATAGTTATAGCTGAGGTGGTTAAGTAACGTAATAGGCTAGTTATCAATAGGGTGGTTAGGTGAGGAAATCGGTTAGATATAGCTGAGATGGTTAATTGTGGTAATAGGTTGGTTATAGTTGTGGTGGTTAGATGTTGGAACTAATGTGGTTATAGTAATCCCCTTGCCAGAATATTTGAGATGATGTTTTGTTCCCTTACTGGGAAGTCGTTATATTGTTGTTTCTGACGGAATATGAGATAAGAAATTTCTTGGAGCTTGGACTCCAGTGATATCATGAGATAAGAAAAGTAAGGAAGAGAAAACGTTGTTGATTATTCCCTTGCCGGGACGTTTGGTTGAACTTGTTGGATTCTTTCCCTTGTCGGGATGTTTGTCAAATATTAACTTATTTTTATGCCCCTTAATTGTGACTGTTGTTTGGGGAGTCGGACTGTTAAATGATATTGAGGATCGGGTTGCACACCGCAACAATGATATTGAGGATCGGGTTGCACGCCGCAACAATGATATTGAGGATCGGGTTGCACGCCGCAACAGTAAAAGGTGAGGATCGGGTTGCGCACCGCAACAATGATACATGATAAATGATATGGGTCGGGTTGCACGCCGCAACAGTGGTATTTATGGAGCGGGTTGCACGCCGCAACAATAGTAATTATGGAACGGGTTGCACGCCGCAATAGCTATTGAGGCTATGTATTTGTATTTGAATATTGATTCCTTGTTCATTGTGAACCTAAGCTGTTTTAGTTGTTACTCTGGATTGCCGTTAATATTGTATCTCCCCTTAGCATGTCTCCCCTCCCATGTTGTTAATTACTTGGTATTCGATTTTCGCTGTAGATGTATAACTGCACAGGTTTATGTGATGTCCAGTCTAGCCTCGTCACTACTTCGCCGGGGTTAGGCTAGATACTTACCAGCACATGGGGTCGGTTGTGCTGATGCTACACTTCTGTGCATTTTTGCACAGGTCCAGGTTTTGAGGAGGAGCAGCAGCAGTAGTTCGGGAGCAGACTTTCCTATTCACGAGACTGAGGTAGCCGTGCAGGCGTCCGCAGGCCTGGCGTCTCTTCTTTATGTTTCCTTTGACTGTTGCCTCATTGTTTTCGAGACAGACAGCTATTATATTTCTTCAGACCTTTGTATTTAGTTTATTCTTAGTGGTTCGTGAGTAATGTGACACCAAATCTTGGGTAGAGGCTATTGTTGACTATTCCGCGTTTTGATTCAGACTTATAAATTAGACTTTCGCTATTATTATTATTAAATTCCATATTTCTTATTGATGTTATAAATTGTTAACAGATTTATTTATTAACGAAAGGTAATTAAGTTGGCTTGCCTAGCTACCGCGAGTAGGCGCCATCACGATCCCGATGGTGGAAAATCCGGGTCGTGACAATTTTTGGAAAACGCAAAAAACAAAAGTTGTAGCCCTTTGAAAATAGTCACGTTTTTACCAAAAACGTAATAAAACATATTGTCATTAAATATAACACCACTGTTTATGCATATGTATATTAATTCGTAATTCCAGAATTAAGATACTAATAAAACAATAACGTTTTTGGCATAGAATAATCATACCAAACATGTAGAATTAATCAACATGTTTTAATATTACTCTATTCATGCTGTATTACACTATCTAGTTAGATGTAATACGACGGCTGATACAAATTGTTAGAACATGCGCAGCGAAAGCAAGCATACAATCCATGCATCAAATACATGTAAACTAGACAATGCTATGATTACTAGATTAGAAGCACTAACCTCTTGAAATCGTTGCATAAATCCTCCACACAGCAAGAATCCAGAGCTGCAGTCTTTTGCTATATGCCTAGTATACCTTGGACGAGTTTGCTTTGAGTGAGCAAGACCAATACAACTCTAAAAGGTGAGTTATTGGGTGAATATTGTCTTCCTTAAGTAGACATGTTTTTAGCCAAAAATAGGCTCCAAAAACATGTAGGATTCTGCTTTCACAAGTAGAATCCTACTCTAACCCTACCATATGACATTTCTCCCAGTCAGTCCAGGTTTTTACTAGGTATAGCAAGGACCACAGAAATAATAAGAGGCTACTAATTATAGTATTAATTTGAAATTAACATGAATTAATTCTTACTATAATCAATTGCAATTTATTCCACTAAAAAACTGCAATTGAACTCCTCATTATGAATTTCGAAAATTCAGTAACACTTATTTTAACTCCCCATGTTAAGATCTCAAATACCAGTTAATTAAATTAAATCACTGAAAATTTAATTTAATCAACTAATTAAATCCTTTACAATT